AAGATAATCTGAAAATATGATTTTTAATTAAAACGGAGTAAATCTAAATAAGATATTAGTTATTAGTTATTATTTAAGTTTCAAAATCAGTACAATACCATTAATCATAAAATAATATATTTATTTTACTCACGGCTTACAGGTATTTATTGAATAAGATTTAAGAATCTYGCTATGTCAAGAAATTAATGGATAGAAGTAATTACCTACTCATTAAATAATAATAAGCAATATTTTTGACTTTCTTACCATAACGGCATAACCATAGACAATTAGTATAACGTTAAACTCGTAAATTTGCACTATCAGCTTGTAGCTTCTAATAATTAATTGTAAATTGACATTCAAACACGTTTTTGATAGGTATATGTAAAATAACCTAACATTTATCACGACGCTATCATTTAAGTAGCGATATCACATAATAAATTATCAGGGTATCAGACCGGAGATATGATTATTTTCATGAGTAATTTAAAATTCGTTTAGATTTCTTTAAAATCCAAATCTAATTGAATTTTGTGGTTAACGATAATGCGCAGAGAAATTATTTTGTTTATTAAAATATTATACAGACTGTTTTAACTAAACAAATTGGCGAACAGTAATTATCCTTAAGTTCCCGCCAAATGGTTTGGCCATTTGATTGTATGATAAATTATCTGTTGACTAGATACATCTATGGGATATATTCATGAAAAATAAAAATAATAATAATTTAGTATCGCGGCGAATAATAATCATTAGGAATATTATATTAAATTGCAGTAATATTACTATAGTTTTAGAATTATTAAAAAATTATTAATTTRAGTATTTTTGAAGTCGGAACCGCAATAAATGGATTCTGAATTCTGGTTATCTGAAAATTCCCGGTATTTTGTTATCATTATCACAATGAGCGCCAAATTCGCTGCAGCTGGGCTTATGAATATTTTGGACAGATGTTTTGAACGTGTCGTGTAGTTCTGTTTCATTTCATTTGAAATTTGAATTTRAATTTGTTTTATTCATCGTCCTACTCATTTCCCGTGAGCTGTTTATTTTCGGTTCTCGATTATTTKGATTTTGATAATTCATTGAATATATTATCTTGGTGAGTGTTTTTCGTATACATTTATGTTTAATATTTCCTTAATAAATTAAAATGACTAATACAAACAAGTCTATAATTTAAAATAGTACTTAATAGTTATTACAAAATTTATTTCAGCCTATCATTTTGTTTTTCTATTTTTATTTAGAAGTTATTATATACAGTACCTTTAATCAGTTCATTGTTGTTACAGAATTGTGAACTCTATAGACGTTTGTCTAAACTAATAACCATGAGTGCATTGATTAATCGTCGTAAGCGGATTCGAGTGAGATTTAATTTTTGGTTTTATGTGAAGTATTGTTAATTATCTTGAGCTTTTTTTTATTAGTTGAATTCAGGTGCACCAAATGAAGATGAAGCTTCTCCCAATGTWACTGATAGCGCTCCCGAAAATAATGTATCTGAGGATAATGCAACACCTATGAAAGAAGAGAATGATTTTGAAATGGACTCTGAACAAGATGATCCTACAGGTAAGATTAGTGTTTTAATCATCAAAGAATAATATAACATTATATAATGTTTTGTGTTAAATTTGAATTATTTGAATTGTTCAATTCAAATTGTTTATCTACAGGTAACATTTATTTATTACTTACAAAACTTAAAAATGGCGTAACTTTAAAATGTCATTCCAATAAAAAAAACTGAGTTAATCTTAAGCTTTTTAGCATTTTAGTTTAATTTATTTATTCGATATTTAGTTTTCTTTAATAGAGTTTATGTTACTTAAAAATTCTCTAAAAAATGTTGTTCCCTTAATATATATTTTTGAACTTTATTTTAAGACAATTGAATTAGAGAAATCATTTATATTATATTGGGTAAATTTTGTATTTTATTAGGTTTGGAGGGAGCAGCGTTTCATAGTCGTTTACCATTCGACAAAATGACTTCAAATGAAGCCTACTGTTTTTCAGACGTGGCTCATGGACCAACACAAACTCAGAAAGTTTTTTTACATATTCGCAACCGTTTGGTAATTAAATACTAATTATTGTATTATTTTTCAAATTTTTTCATTAATTGTATAAGAATTTTAATAAAAATTTACCATTATTTTGTTTTAATATAAGTTACAACAATGGTTGGATAATCCAAAACAACAATTACTTTTTGAATCTGCTTTACCATTAATTGAACCACCTTTTAATACTGATAAAGTTCTTATTCAAAGAATTTATGCATACCTGGAGCGTCATGGATTCATAAACTTTGGAGTATTTAAGAGATTAAAAGTAAGAATATGATAGATATTTAGTTATAATATTATTGCATGTTATAAAAAYAATTTTAAATAAAAAAAATTATTGATTTATTAATTTTTATAGCCTCTGCCTGTAAAAAAAGTAGGCAAAGCTATTGTGATTGGTGCTGGTATTGCGGGATTAGCTGCTGCTCAACAAATGCAACAATTTGGAATGGAAGTTATCGTTTTAGAAGCAAGGGTATAACATAAATAATATTTTTATTTTATTTWATTTTTAATTTTTAAAAAGCTATATTTACAATCAAACATAAAGCACAAAATGTAAATTGGATAAATTTAATTATAATTTAATACCTAAATGGTTACTTAATTTAGGATCGAGTTGGTGKGCGCATAGCTACTTTTCGTAAGAATAGTTATGTTGCTGATTTGGGTGCAATGGTAGTTACTGGTCTAGGAGGTAATCCAGTGACAGTGCTATCCAAACAAATTAACATGGAACTTCATCGTATACGTCAAAAATGTCCACTTTATGAACCTGGAAAATTAAATGCATTGGTATCTACTGTAAGTTAACACCTTATTTTCTAAATTATTGAATATAACTCAATATTTTGTGTATATTTTATATTTTGTAGCAAGTTCCTAAGGATAAAGATGAAATGGTTGAGAGAGAATTTAATCGTCTTTTGGAAGCTACTAGTTATTTATCTCATCATTTGGATTTCAATTATTGTAATGGAAAACCTGTTTCACTAGGCCATGCACTGGAATGGGTTATAAAGTTTGTATCTACTATATTACATGGTTTTTTTTTTTGTTTTAAGAGTGGTGATTGTATTTCATTTTTAGAAAATTATGTTTAACTTCAAATTTTTTTTAGTTAGTAAGATACATTTTTATAAAAATATAATGTTAAAATAACTGATGATAATTTGGTCAACATTCATAGTGAACTTGTATGTAATTTTTAATTTAAATATTATATGAAACTTGAAGACATTTTTATATCTATAAAAAATATGTTATAATGTTATTATGAAAAAAAAAAAATTAATATTTTAATCTTCTTAGTACAATTTCCAATGGAAAATCTTTAATGATTTTAACTTAAAATATTTATTTTATCGTTAATCTTTTTAATTTTTATGTATCATAGATTACAAGAGAAACATGTTAAAGAGAAATTGATTCAGYACATGAAAAATGTTGTAGCTTTGCAAGAAAAGCTGAAAACCAATTATAAAAAGGTTTTTTCAATAATAACTTAATTATCATTATTTTTATTATACTTTATATCCTAATTTGGGATCATTTTGTTTAGTTACTTCAAGTGCAAGAAACTTTAGAAGATTTATCTGCTCTGCAGAAAGAGAATGCTGAAGAAAAATGTAATGATGCTAGTTCAAATTTTGCATACCTTTCTGCTAGAAGAGAAATGGCTCTTAATCTCAAAGTTAGTCTATGTAATTTTACAACAAATAGAAGAATTCTTATTTTCAATAATAACAATGAATATTATTGTAATATTGTGATAATGTGATTTAATTTAATTGTGTGTTTATGTAGCAATGGGATGAATTAATCGAAGAAAAGAATGATATTGAAGAAAAACTAAAGGAAATGGAAGCAT